GCCTCCTAAAGAATTGGAAATTGAGGGGATGCCCATCAGTTGGGGAATGATAGAACAAATTATGGTATATGAATATAATAGAGTACTACTGTGCTATAAGAAATGATGAACAGGCAAACTTCAGAGAAACCTGGAAAAATTTGCATGAACTGCTACAAAGTGAAGTGAGCAGAACCAGGAGAACATTGTACACCATAACAGCAACACTGTGTGACAATCAACTAATGAATGATTTAGCTGTTCTCAGAAGTATAACGATCCAAGATAATTCCAAAGGACTCATGAGGAAATTGCTATCCACCTCCAGAGAAAGAACTGATGGAGTCTGATTGCAGATCAAAGCATGCTATTTTCACTTTCTTTATTTTTTTATGTTTTCCCCCTTTTGGTCTGTTTCTTCTTTCACAACATGGCTAATATGGAAATATATTTTATATGATTACAATATATAACCTATATCAAATTATTTACCATCTTAGGGAAGGGGGAAAGAGAAGGAGGAAGGGAGAAAATCTGGAACTCAAAAACGTTTTAAAATGAATGTTAGAATTTGTCTTTACATGTAATTGGAAAAAAAATAAAATAGTATTAAAAAAAGTATTGCCTCTACCCAGGGATATGCTAGTAAGTATCTAAAGTTGGCTCTCTGAAGGAAAAATGCACACACAACAAATGTGTTAAGTTCAAACCACATCATTAACATGTTCTCCATCATTTTCTTAAGTCCAGACAATCCAGAAAACAACAACAGATCAAGCCCTGACTTGTAGTGTTTGCCAGTGACTGAAGTCTATGCGCTCACACTGAAAATTAAATAACTGGTCCTCATGAGCCAGGTTGCTAGGTCCAGGACACTCTGTTTCCACCCTGTTGTCATAGTAGTATAATAAAGACCGGAGAAGAGCATCTATAAAGTACTTTGAGAGCTAAAACAAATATCTGTATATGGGTAAATTATTTTCCTGCCCTACCTGTGTCATGTGACTGTTAGACAGAATGAATTAAATGACTTGTAAAGGTGCTTTGAAAAATGAAAACGTGCTGTCCAGTTATATACTACCCTTGATGGTTTAGCTCATTTAAACAAGTTATTGGTATTTTCTTCTTACCTGGCAGAACCTGGTCTGGCCTTGGAAAGGCTTGTCTGCTGTGTAATATGTTTTTGCCCATTTTGAAAGGTGTCTTATGTGACATTTCAGGTTGCCTGAGTCAATGGAATGATCCTTCTTTGCCCACTGTGGACATTTCTGGCTCACCACACCACTTAAGGAAATCCATCTGTTGTTCAGTCATGTCCAGCTCTTCATGACCTCATTTGAGGTTTTCTTGGCAGAGATACTGGAATGGTTTGCCATTTCCTGATCCAGTTCATTTACAGATGAGGAAACTGAGGCAAACAGGGTTAAGTAACTTGCCCAGAGTCACACAGCTAGTAAGTGCCTGAAGCTGGATTTGAACTCAGGTCTTCCTGATACCAGGCCCTGTGCTCTATCCGCTGAGCAAATTAGCTGCCCCAGAATGGAGCTGCAATTTCCCTGTTTAGCTATTTGTCACTCGGCATCCTCCCTTTTTCCTCAGTCTATCACTAGCTATTAGTGTGGTTTTAGGCAACTGACTTTATCTCTCTGATCTTCTGTTTCCCCATGTACAAAATGGTGAGGTTGAACTCTGTTTCTGCTAAGCCCCTTCCAACTCTAAGGTTCTCTCATAGTATCTGAGAACAGGATACAGAATCCACCCTAGTGTATTAACACTTTTGGTTGGGAGAAAGGGGAGTGATACCTCAAGGTTCCACCCCTTTCTTATTCTGCCACACTCCCCCCAAAGAAAGGAAGCTTCATAGCTACCTTAGTGGACCAGATATAGGCTGCATTTCTCCCAGATCAAAAACTGACCTCTGCCTCAACCTTTAGTGGTTCCAGTATGGAATTTGCAGTCTAGTCAGAGGAAAACAGCTGGATTCTAACATTTAGTAAGATCCTGCTTCCCCTTCCTTATGTACAGATGTCCTCTTTTTTTTTTCTTATTCCAAGTTCAGTGCTTTTTTATTTTTAAATGCAATTTTATTAATTTATTTATTTTTAGTTTTTAACATTCACTTTTTTTGATTTTGAGTTCCAAATTTTCTCCCCATCTCATCCCTCCCCCCATCCCAAGATGGCATGCATTCTGAATACCCCTTCTTCCAATCTGCCTTCCCTTCTGTCTCCCCCCCCCCCACTTCTCTTATCCCCTTCCCCTTCTATTTTCCTGTAGGGCAAGATAGATTTCTATACTCCATTGCCTGTATATCTTATTTCCCAGTTGCATGTGAAAACAATTTTTAACATTTGTTTTTAAAACTTTGGGTTCCAAATTCTCTCCCTCCCTCCCCACTCACCCTCATTGAGAAGGCAAGCAACTCAATACAGGTTATACATGTGTAGTTATGTAAAATACTTCCATAGTAGTCATGTTGTGAAAAATTAACTATATTTCCCTTCATCCTATCCCCCCCCATTTATTCTATTCTCTCTTTTGACCCTGTCTCTCCTCAGAAGTGTTTGCTTCTGATTATCCCCTCCCCCAATCTGCCCTCCCTTCTGTCATCCCCTTCCCCCGCCCCATTCCCTTCCCCTCTATTTTCCTGTAGGGTAAGATAGATTTCCATACCCATTTGGGAATGTATGTTATTCTCTCCTTAAGCCAAATCCAATGAGAATAAGATTCACTCTTTCCCTCTCACTTTCCCCCACTTCCCCTCCACTGTAGAAGCCTTTTCTTGTCTGTTTTATGTGAGATAATTTACCCCGTTCTACCTCTCCCTTTCTCCTTCTCCCAGTATAATCCTCTCCCATCCCTTAATTTTATTCTCCAGATATCACCCCTTCCAGATGTCCTCTTCATTCCATTGTGGTTCTCTCTGTAGTATAGACCTACCTGTTTTCTAATGGCTCATGCTGACTCAGTCTCTGGGGAATGTCCTTTGAACCTTGTTTCTGTTCTTAATCCTGGGTCACAGTGACGGCCCCTACCACACTCCTCAGGACTCAGATACCACCTTTATCTTGCTTCTCCCATTTAATCTCTTTGCCTCCCACCCTCCTACTTCCATCTCTGTAACTTGAATATTAGTCAGTAAGCACTTATTAAGCACCCACTGGGGGCAGCTAGGTGGCACAGTGGATGGAGTGCTGGGCCTGGAGTCAGGAAGACACATCTTTGTGAGTTCAACTCTGGCTGCAAACACTTCCTAGCGGTGTGACCCTGAGCAAGTACTTAACCCTGTTTGCCTCAGTTTCCTCATCTGTAAAATGAGCTGGAGAAGGAAATAGCAAACCACTCCAGTATCTCTGCCAAAAAAACCCCAAAGGGGGTAACAAAGAGTCAAACTCAACTGAAATGACTGAACAACGACAAGCACCTACTACGTGTCAGGTACTTTGTTAAGTACTGGGGATACAAAGAGGGCTCCTGCCTTCATGGAGCTCACAGTCTAAAGGGGGAAACAGCAAGCAAACAAATAGGTATAAACAAGCTATATCCAGGGAGAAATAATTAACAGAGGAAAGGCACTAGAGTTAAGAGGGAGCAAGAAAGGCTTCCTATAGAAGGTGGGATTTTAATTAGGATTTCAAGAAAGCCTGGGAATCCAGTACCCAGAGATAAGAAGGGAGAGCATTTCAGGCAGGAGGGACAGCCAGAGAAAAGGATCCCAGCCAAGAGTCGCATTTTTGTTCTTGGAACAGCCAGGAGGGCAGTGTCACTGAATCAAAGCCTACATTGGCAGGTGTAGAGTGTAAGAAAACTAGAACAAGCAGAGATGGGCTGTGAAAGACTTTGAATGTCAGAAAGGGGATTTCGTATTTGATTCTAGAAAGGATAAGGGAACCACTGGATTTTATTGACTAGGTGGGGTGAAGAGGGCAGACCTGAATATGGCTGTGGCCTGCTTTGGTCCCAGAAATGTGCATAATGTATTACTGCCTAGTCTCCGATAAGACATCCTATTATGTTTTACAGTTTAGTACTTTTAAGTAGACATTCAGACTAGAACACAAAGAAGAACCACTTCATTACCCAATGTGTCTTTTGTCACAACAAAGTTGCCAGTCACTTTTGTAATTCTCCCCTTATTGATATAAGCATTTGAATATAATTTTCTCATGGGGTCATATATCTTGCCTTTTTTTTTCTAGCACAATGGTGTGCATATAGTAGACTCTCAATATATATTTGTTAGTTGATTAAGTAGGTGAAAACTTTAGGGTGTATCTAAAGTGAAAGTCTCACATGTACAAAAATATTTATAGCAGCTCTTTCTGTGGTGGCAAAGAATTGGAAATTGAGGGGATGCCCATCAATTGGGGAATGGCTGGACAAGCTGTGGTATATGAATGTAATGGAATACTATTGTGCTGTAAGCAATGATGAGCTGGAAGACTTCAGAAAAACCTGGGAAGACTTATATGAACTGATGCTGAGTGAAGTGAGCAGAACCAGAAGAACATTGTACACAGTAACAGCCACACTGTGCAATGACTGACTTTGACAGACTTAGCTCTTCTGAGCAATGCAAAGATCTAAGACGACTCCAAAAGATTCACGATGGAAAGTGTTGTCCACATCCAGAGAAAGAACTGTGGAGTTTGAATGCAGACCAAAGCATACTATTTGATCTCCTCTTTTGTTGTTTTGTTTTGCTTCTTCATTCTCATGGTCCTTCCTTTGGATCTAATTCTTCTTTACATCATGACTAATGTGAAAATATGCTTAACATGAATATATAAGTAGAGCCTATATCAGATTTCATGTTGTCTTGGGGAGGGGGGAGGAAAGGGAGGGAAAGAAAATTTGAAGCTCAAAATCTTAGGGAAGTGAATGTTAGAAACTAAAAAGAATAAATTTAACAAAATAAAGTTGATGTCCAAGTTCATATGTTTGTTCTTATGAGGGTACAACATGGCCCTGGTTTTGTATAGACTAAGATACTTAAAGGTCGTCTTCTTGCTCCCTTACAGATTGAAGACATCGTTACAAAGATGCAGGATGACAAGACGGGCGGGGTACCCATCAGGACAGTAAAGAGTTTTCTGTCCAAAATCCCCAGTGTAGTCACAGGTAAGCAGGAACCATCCTAAGACACTCATGACCCACAGAATAGAGTAGCAACTGGAAGCTAATGTAGAAAAGGCTGAGGGAGGAGTATTGGAGGGAGGAGAAGTTTTAAAAGTTAAAGCTATTATTGACAATGTGATCTTTACTTAAAAATGTGACCTAGTTCTGAAGATTGTTTTTAATGGTAAAGAGCAAAAAGGCTGTCGTCTACCTATCTATCCATGTATAGTTTGTGTATTTGTATACATGCTTATGTGTTTATTTACATTTATGAAGTCAGTATAACCAGACTATCTATCTACCTACCCATCTATCTACATGTGGGTATGTATACATTTATGAAGCCAGTATGACCAGGTTTTCTCTTCCTACCTTCCTTGTTTCCCTTCTTTCCTAACTTACTTCCTTCTTTCCTTCCTTTCTTCTTTTTTCCATCTTCCTTCCTTTTTTCCTTCCTTTCTTTCCTTCTTTATTCTTTCTTTCTATCTATATCTACAGAGATGTATATATACATAGACATATATACACACATGCTCACACATACACAGTAGGCACTTAAATGGTTATTAACTGATCCATATATACATATATTACACATACACACATATACATGTAAGCACACACATATATCACCTGGTCACACTGTTCATATATATGTGTGTGTGTATGTACATGCAAATATGTGCATATGTACTGAATATCTCTCTTGAGTTGGAGTTACCTATTTTAGATAATTATAACTTTGAATTGTGCAAATCTGAATACATGAGACCATTTCAGGGGACTCATTATTTACACTAAACAGTATCTTGCTGTTTATGGAGCCCATATGGAGAAACCCAACCATTTATAAACCAGCCTTCTTATCAGGAGATTGGCAAGTAAGAGCTGCATAAGTATAGAAACATTCTTCTCCTAAGGGAGAGGTGTTTTTTTTAATTAATTTTAAAAACTTTGATGAATTTCAAAAACAGCTAATAAATCTTACTACTTCAAATCCCACATATTTTTATATCAGTTTCAGTTGAACTCAATACAAATATTGCATATATCTTTGTATTCCTTAATATTAAAATCATCTTTGTGGTTGGACAGCTCCTGCCTGTTAACTTGCATGTGAATCAGTTTCTGTATACATGGGCATTAATGAATAGATGGCAATATATTCTGAATAATGTAATTAGGAGGTACCTCTCCAGCAATGATAAATAATTTATAACTTTTAATTTTTAGTTATATGGCATTGTTTGGTGTATCTTTCCTTTAGACAAATACTAGAAAGTCATCTGTTCCTAACTGAGGGAGAAAATGATTTTCTCAGTTTACAGAAAAATGTAGTGCTTTCTTTCTTCCTTAAGATCTCTGAACTTGCCAAATGATTCACAATTCTCAGCAACTCAGCTGCTGTATATTTTCATTTACATTCACGAGATCCCAGGAATATATCTGTAGTCCTGCATTCTATTCTCAACAGTGGTCCTGAAGCCACTCGACCCATTTCTTTTTTTAAACAACACCAAGGAATACTTGGGCAGTTAGGTGACGCAGTGGATAGAGTGCTGAGCCTAGAGTCAGGAGCACTTGAACTCCGATTCAGCCTTAGACACTTACTAGCTATGTGACCCTGGGCAAGTCATTTAATTCTGTTTGACTCAGTTTTCTCATCTGTAAAATGAGCTGGAGAAGGAAATGACAAATCCAGTATCTTTGCCAAGAAAAACCCAAATGGAATCATGAAGCGTCAGACATGACTAATCAACTAAGACAAGAACAACAAGGATTATTTGTGCCATTTAAGTTTTCTGTCCCCCAGGTGTCATGCCAATATCCTGCCCAATGACTCCAGTAGATCCAGGGTTTGTACCTGACGGATCTTGCCTTACAGTTGAGTTATTGGGGGGGGGGGGAGGTGGCAGATTATCCCTTCCTAGCTTCACTGGTGGATTTAGAGTTGTTCATCCTTCACTTTCAAAGAAGACCAGTGACGTCAAGGGGTGATGTCTTAAGTTGAGCATGAACTAGATTTAAGTGAGGCAAAATTACCCAAAGTCATCATCCTCACTCTCTCTTCCTGAGTCATTGAAGTTCAATGGCAGGACAAAAGTCAAGATGACTGACAGTGGATGACCTTGCCATTGACTTTAAAGTTGGAGAGTTCAGCCTGGAAAGCTGAATGGAGCTAGATAGGAGATAAAAGTAGTCAAGGAAAGACCCTTGGAGAGAATAAAGGAACCAAATCTCCACAGCAGTCACTCCAGAATGAAATTTGGAAATTTTCCTAATGAGGAGAAGGTGGGAGGAAAGAAGGAAAGGAAAAGGGAAGAAAAGTAGGAGGAGGAGGGAGAAAGAAAGAGAAAGGGAGAGGAAAAAAGAATGTGTAACAGCAGGCTAATTAGATTAACTCAATAGGAAAAGAGTAATCATCCCAACACTAGGTGACGAGAATGTTACTGAGAGACATTTTGCCCCAGGATGCATCAAGGAGGCCAGGAGGTGAAACTACACCCCTATCCAGCTATCCATCCCCGGCCAAGATGTCTAGTCATCACACTTAAGCATAACCTTGATATTCTTGTTGATGATGATGTTCGAAATGCTGCCATACACCTCAGTGGTCCCGACTTCAGCTGCCTCCTCTTTTACTGCTCTCACCGAGAAGGCGTCCTGAGTGCGTAGCTCTAGCACAAGAGAGAGGAATCCTCAAACGCTCCCAGGCTTTTGGAAGAGTCAATAACAGCCAGAACCGGAGCCAAGAACAGTTTGGGCCTGTGGTGCCCAAGCTGCTCCATACACTCCTATTGCCAGCGACTGTTCTTCCCTATCTACAGCACGTCACATTAATGCCAGGTTTCTCCTCAGCAGGGAATGCCAGCATCAGAAACGTGTCAGACTGCATGGCAGGGACCAGCTACAGGCAGATATTCATCCTAGGATGGTGTCACAGAGGAGACGTTGGGGGCTTGGAGAAGAATGGTCACTTCCAGGCAACCCAGTTGGTTTTGTGCATACAAAGAATGAGAAAATGGGTCTTCTTGTCCTCTCTAGGGTTTCCTTTGAAGATAAACTTGTACAGGTACTTCTTTAACTTCCTCTTGGTGATATGGTACAATGGAAAGAGAACTGAAATGAGAAGTAAGACACGTATTCTTAACCCTGCTCTACCAGTTACTCTGTGTGTTATGATTTTAATGGAACCTACAAGACACTCACTCAGTTGTTTCAGTCATGTCCAACTCTCCATGACCCCATTGGAGTTTTCTTGGCAGAGACATTGGAGTGATTTGCCATTTCTTTCTCCAGCTCATTTTACAGATGCGGAAACTGAGGCAAGCAGAGTTCAGTGACTTGCCCAGGGTCACCCAGCTAGTAAGTGTCTGAGGCCAGATTGGAACTTAGGAATTTGAATCTTCCTGACTCTATGCACTGCATCACCTACCTTCCCTGAACCTATAAGAACCACTGTTCAGAAGTAAACAATGAAGATAAACCTTACCTCAGGCAAGATCTTATAGTAATCTGGAAGGCTCTAATCTTTTAGGTTTAAGACTTTGACAGACCGGTGAACCCTTCAAACTCTGTTGACAGAAGTAGCTTTTGTCTGCCATTTGTATCTTAGATTGCTAGAGAGATAAAACCTCTAAGTTCTTTCTGTATGCCAAGCACTGTGCCTTAGCACCACACATACAATAAAGTATTCTAGACAGTCCCTGTCCTCAAGGGTCTTTCATCCCAGTGATAGAAGGCAACACGTAAATGACAGCTGGAAAGCATGGGTTGGGGGGTGTTACTCAGGCAGTGGCATGGTTGGAGATGTGGTAGAGGTACTGTGGAGGCCCAGAAAAGAGCAAGAAAAAGGCCCAGGGAGGCTCCAGGGGCAGAGGCTCCTCCATTTTCCAATGGGGAGGTTATGGAGATCTGGCCGTAATGGAGGCAGCCAGGCTGGAGGGATCTAGGAAATACAACATCTCAGTGTTCATGAGCTTAACAGATCCTTCCTGAGCGTAGGTTTTATTGGGGGTGGGAATAGAGAGAGATATGGAGGGAAGGTGAAAACAGCTAGAGCTTTTTAAACTTGAATGGAAAGAAGGAAAGGAAGATGGAATAATGCCACTGTTGGAAAAGGGGGAGGGAAAGAGAAGAGGGTCAAGTGTTGTTACCTCCATTTTATCAATGAGCTAAGTAAATCACAGAGAGGACAGTTAGGAAAGCATTTTGTCAAGCTGCTAGCCTATAAAAATATTAAGTATTCATGTTTAATTATAGACAATGGATAGAGATCTGGCCTTGGAGTCAAAAAGATCTGGATTTAAATCCTGCCTCAGATTCGCTGGGCAGCTGAGTGGCACAGTGGGTAGAATGCTAGGCTTGCAATGAGAGACTCATCACACTGAGTTCAAATCCAGCCTCAGACGCTTCCTAACTGTGTGACCCAGGGCAAGTCATTTAACCCCTGTTTGCCTCAGTTTCCTCATCTGTAAAATGAGCTGGAGAAGGACATGGCAAACCACTCTAATATCTTTGCCAAGGAAACTCCAATGGGGTCACAAAGAGTCAGACACAACTGAAAATAACTGAATTCGGACTGAATCTGAATATTGGTTCTATGAGCATGGTCAAATGATTTAACCTCTGAGAGCCAAACCATCCCCACCCCCTTCACTCTGTCTTTAAAATAAAAGGTTACAGAAGAGTTACTGTTCTATACCAGCAGCAGGAGTTTCCATACCCCCACAGCACGAGTGAAATCACAGTTTCCTTATCCCTGTCCCATTGACTTATCATGTAAATTTTATTTCTAGATTGAATATTGAATCTGGAATCAGGAAGACTTGAGTTCAAATCCAGCCTGAGACACTTGCTAGCTTTGTGGCCTTGGCAAGTCACTTTACCTCTCTCTGCCTCAGTTTCCCTAACTATATAGGGATGATAATGGCACTTACCTCCCAGGGTTATTGTGGGGGCCAAATGAGAACATGTTTATAAAGCAATTAGCATAGCTCCTG